TATTTAATGTTGCTGCATGTATGTGCTATGCCATTCTGAGTACCATTAGCAGGTGTAATGCCGCAACTGCTTTGCCATCAAAGCTACATAAAGATTCATAACATGTGCGCCATTGCTGCTGCTGTTGGTGCCATAACCTAGCGCTACTTGCTCCCTAAACCCTAAACCCTAAAACCCTAAACCCTCAACCCTAAACCCTTAACCCTCAACCCCAAAACCCTAAACCCTTAGCCCTCAACCCTAAACCCTTATCCTTTTCGAAACCGAAAGCCTAGGCGGCACCATCACCGGCCTTCCGTCCTACTCAGATGGACACGGAGCGCCTCCTTTTGGCCGGTGGGGTTTAGGGTTTACGGGTTAGGGTTTGGGGTTTAGGGTGATATAAGGTTGCTTTTTTAAAGCTGCTTCCGCGGGGTCTATCAGGCCTCCGGTGAGGTGTACTATAAAGAACCTTTGGGGGTTCTATAAGGGTTTCTGTAATGTTTTATTACTATAAGAGCTTGTTTCAAGGTTCTTCGAGGGTTCTGGAAGGTTAGTGTCTGGGTTTTCGGCGTTACTTTGTGTTTTGTGTGTCAGGGATGCGGGGTTTAAGTTCACAGTCGTGTTGTGTCTGTGGCAGGCTCAGGGCATGCCCTAAACCCTAAACTACCCTAAACCCTAACCCCCAACCCTAAACCCTAAACCCTGAACCCTAAACCCTAAACCATAAAATTTGGGTTGTGGATTTAGACAGGGGATTCTGCGGAGGAAAGAGGCCTGAATACTCAGCAGTCTCGTTCCTTAGGGTTCCTTCATAGGCTATGTCCTGTCATCGCATACCTCAAAGCTCCGTTCTGATGATTCGGGCTACATTAGTTTCGTTGGCTTCATTAGGGTTTAGGGTTTAGTGTTTGGCTCACCGTTCTCCAGGACTCCACCTGTGTTTTGTCCGTTTAAGCTGCATGCAAGCTTCAACCAAGTTGGAGCAGACCCGAAAGCCCCAACAAGGACCAGGAGCCGGGGGCGTTAATGCGCAGAACAGGGCTTCGGGGTAATTTCTACGGACCCGCCCCCCATAATAGTATTGGTGGATATGTGAGCCCCTGTGTATGGTGCTGCCAGAGAGCGCTGGCATAGAACCGCACACGAGCGCGAACATCGTTACTAGGCTTTCAGACTTCCTAAACCCTATAGACCCAAAACCCCTAAACCCCTAAATCCTAAACCCCTAAAGCCCTGAACCCTAAACGCCTAAATGTTCTGCATGTCGGCCAGCCTTCAAACATAGCGTTTCGGCTCGAGACTTTCTCGTGTCATGTCTGCTTTTCACTCTTACGCTTGGGGCTTCGACTTTATGCATCTTTTGCAGTGCTTAGGGCTTAGGACTTGGGGGCAAGAGACTCAATAGTATGTACCCCTAAACCCTAAACCCTGATATATGCTCCTTTAGTCCCTTCATTGCTGTGGAATCATAGTGTATAAACCCTACTCTGATCCTTGAAGCCATAAATGAGACGGCAGGAAAATCCTGATAAAGCCTCTACAAAGTCATAGACTGGCTATGAAGGGCCCATCCAGCTGAACCTCTATGCCTTCCTACACCCTCCAAACTCAAAGGATAGCGGATTTCAGGCGGTGTATTTAGGGTTCAAAACAGCCGAGTCCCTCACTTTGAGAAACTGCGAACCTTACGTCTGACGGTTAATCCGCCCAGCTTGGGAGAGTCTGCAATGCCCGGCGAGTAAGGCAAGCATTGATGTCTGGGTCTTATGCCATGAGATCGAGGCCCAAAACCTAAAAACGCCTAAACCCAGAACCCTAAAACCCTAAAACCCCTAAAACCCTAAAACCCCAAAGCCCCAAACCCTAAACTTCGACGGTTGGAGGCGTCCACGTGGTTTCGAGGTGGCCCAAGGCCTTCCCCAAATCCTAACTCTAAGGGCCCAAGTACCTAAGAATCATAACTCTCCCAAATAGTAACCTACATAACATATACGGTTTAGGGTTTAGGGTTTAGGGTTTAGGGCAATAGTAACCTACATAACTACTAGCCGAAACCTAAATACCTGATTGTTGGGTCCTTTGGACCCTTAGGGTCACTCCGTCATCTCCGAGGCCTTGGGCTCTTCTCAGGATCTGTCGAGGCTCTTAGGGGTTTAGGGTTTAGGGTTTAGGGTTTAGGGGTTTAGGGGTTTAGGGGTTTAGGGTCTAGGGGTTTAGGGGTTTAGGGGTTTACGGTTTTAGGGGTTTAGGTTTAGGGGTTTAAGGGTTTAGGGGTTTAGGGTTTTAGGGGTTTAGGTTTAGGGGTTTAGGGTTTAGGGGTTTAGGGGTTTAGGGTTTAGGTTTAGGGTTCAGTTTCGGGTTAAGGGTTTACAGAGCCTTATGGTTTTGGGGTTTATCGTGGTTTATAAGTAGGGTCACCATACTTCTGAACCAGATTTTAAGCTCATAAACGTACTTGTAGCTACCCATGAACCTCCAAGTAGTCCCAAGTAGCATTCGTTGTTAGCTTTGCAGTCCTCGTCCTCGTCCTCGTCCTCGTCCTCGTCCTCGTCCTCGTCCTCGTCCTCGCCGGCGTCCTCTTCGTCGTATTCGTCGCTGTGCACAGTCTTCTTCTAGTAGTCATTGCCATCGTCATTGCCGCCATCGCCAACCGTGTGCCAGAAGACTATCATATTCATGGTCAGGATCATGATTGCAGCGGCTCTGGCTACATGCAGCACGCTTAGATGTGTTATAGAGACCCCTATAGTAACCCTTAAAGAAAGCCCTATAGGCACCCTTATAGAAGCCCTTATAGGAATCATCCCCTAAACCCTAAACCCTAAACCCTAAACCCTAAACCCTAAACCCTAAACCCTAACCCTTATAGGAGCCTTCAAAAACCCCCAAGAGTCTCCTGCCCAGGTCCTGCTCAAGCTGTCTACCTTGTGGTGCTCTGGTCGGCGTCTCGGGGTTGAGCGCTTAGGACCGTTTAGGGTTTCGGGTTTAGGGGTTAGGGGTTTAGGGTTTAGGGGTTTAGGGTTTAGGGTTTAGGGTTTATATAGGTCTAGCACAAATTTTCCTAAACCTTAAACCCTAAACCCTAGCCACAAATCTCCGGTTCGTCTTGGGTTTCGTATCGTAGTCCTACCCCTAAAACCCGCACTCTGCTTGATGAATCGCACTCCCGCCACTGCGCCGCCAGCCGCCGTGCATGTTTTTTGGGGGGTTTGGGTTGGAAATCGTGCTCGTGCCGCTGTCGGGCGCTCATGTGGCCTGGGAGCCCTTAAACTCCAAACCCTACCCCTAAACCCCTGAGCGTTTCGAATCAGACCTCGATATCAAGTTCAAGGGCTTTCGCGTTTAGAAATTCCTAGGGGTGTATCGTGTTTATTAGGGTATCTCGGGAGTCTTCAGGATTGCTGGGTGTGGCGATTGCTGGTGAACTTAATATGTAAAGCTGAAGCCGTACAGGAATACTTAAAGTCAACCCTAATCCCTGAACCCGAAACCCTAAACCCCTAAACCCCTAAACCTTAACAAAGAACCCTGAACCCTAAACCCCTAAACCTGTAAACCTTAACCCTGAGCTTCGAACCCTAAACCCCTAAACCTTAACCCTTAAGCCTGAACCCTAAACCCTTCAAGTGTTATAGAACTGTGGTACCCCTTAAAGGGGACCCGATTATAGAACCCTATAGTAGCCCTTACACCTCAAGGACGAAAAGAGCCCGAAAAGGGCTTAAGGTTCATATACCATATAGGGATTCATAGGAAGGGTATAGGGTCCCTCTTTTTTTAGGTTCTTTTCGTCCTTCAGGCTGGAACCCTAGAAACGATGGCCTTCCACAGGCCCGCCTTTGCCGCCGGCTGTTTGGTCGCGATGTCCGGGCCTCGGAAGCCAGACGTTCCTTGAAGGGTTCCTTTTAAGGGCTCCTTTAAGGGTTCCTAAGTTCAGAACCCTCAACCCTAAACCCTAAGCCCTCAACCCTAAATTCTAGGTTCCTTTAAGGGTTCCTTTCGAATTCCTACGATGTGTGTGCCTTAAGGGTTGCTTCAAGGGTTCCTCTGAGGGTTCTTTGCGGGTTCCTTCAAGGGGTTTGAGGCTTCCTTCAAGGGGCTCAGGGTTCCTTTAAAGGTTCTATGTTAATTATGTCTATCGGTAGTTCTCTAAACTAGGGTCCCTTAAAGGGTCCTTGTTTTAAGGGTGCCGTACTATGTTAGGGACCTAAAGAGGGACCATATTTTAGAGAACTACCCCTATGGTTCCTTTGAGGGTTTAGGGTTTAGGGTTGATTGCTTAGGGTTGTTCTAAGGGTGCTCATGGAGTTTGAGAAGCCATCTTTGGATTTTTACCGGCCATTTCAGGTTTCATGTAAGGCTTGAAGAGTTTTTTTTTGGGGGGGGGGCTCATGGTTTAAGGTTCTTGGGCTTAGGGCCTAGTTAGTGCTTTAGGGTCTCTGGGCTTACAGTATACCCTAATCCCGAAACCCTAAACCCCAAACCCGAAAACCGACCGTAGAAGTGTCGGTTATTTCGGAGTTTGGAGTTGAAAGAATCGAACCTCGGCCTCCAATTTCCAAGGCTTCTTGCAAGGGACTAAAGGACGGACCCTTAAAAGGGACCCTTGAACTTCTATAGGGGGGCTCTATGAGACTATATAGCGGGGTTTTAAGGCCTATATAGGGTATTTGGATTAGGGGTCCCTTCTAGGGGTCCCTCCTATTGTCCCTTAAATCTTGAAGTTTCCAGGTCTCGCGTGGGATCTGAGTATGTCGAGTCTTGACAGGGTCCGTTGTTTCTGAACCTCCCACATATGGGCAGTGTCCATCTATGGCCCCGGTTGAGAGGTATTTCTGTCATTGGCAGCTTTGCAGGAAACCTTAAACCACTCTCGCTTGAGCGTCAAGTACCTTCAGGCTGAGTTTTGCGGGCCATTGTCCTATAATTACTCTCCCAGCGGTTGGGCGAATCGTTCGCGAGCTTGAATCGGGCCTCACGGTTTTGGATTAGGCTTTTCTGCCTTGTTCATGGAGATGCATCCGCACACCCAGGTATATATAATATAATAGAACAGAACAGAATACAATGCAACATTATATGACATAGTGACATAATACAAAAATGTCAAAATATGAGAAAATAGAGATAATTTCACAACGTGTCATATAATATAGCATAACATCATAGAACAAAACAACATGCAATACCTACCTACCTGTTTACGCATCTACCTATCATACTGTCTATCTATCGATCTATCTAGCTAGAGTGCTATCTATCTATCTGTCGATCTATCTATCTATCTATCTATCTATCTATCCAGCGACCTATGTATCTACCCATGTATCTACTTATCTATCTATGTTCCGATCTATCTATCTATCTATCTATCTATCTATCTATCTGTTTATCTTTTTATCTTATCTTATCTTATCTTATCTTATCTGAACTTATCTTATCTGATCTGATCTGATCTGATCTTATCTTATCTTATCTTATCTTATCTTATATGTTATCTTATCTTCTATCTTATCTTATCTTATCTTTTCTTATCTTATCTTGTCTTGTCTTGTCTTATCTTATCTTATCTTATCTTATCTTATCTTATCTTATCTTATCTTATCTTATCTTATCTTATCTTATCTTATCTGATCTTATCTTATCTTATCTTATCTCAT